TATAAGAGAACACTATGAATAAATGTGCACCAACAAATTAGATAGCCCAGATGAAACGGACACATTCCTAGAAACATCAAACCTACCAAGACCGAATCATGAAGAAAGAGAAAAGGCAAACAGACCTATAATTAGTAAGAAGACTGAATCAGTAACCAAAAATCTCATAGGCAGCAGCGGTCCTGCAGCAGACACAGAGATGCAGATCTCTGTGAAGACCCTGACAGCAAGACCAACATTCTCGAGGTCGAGCCGTGACACCACTGAGAATGTTAAAGCCAAAATCCATGACAAGGACGGCATCCCGCCCAACCAGGGCAAACAGCTGGAGGATGGCCGCACTGTCTCAGACTACAATATCCAGAAGGAGGCCACCCTGTACTTGGGGCTTCACCTGCAGGGTGGCATCATCGAGCCTTCCCTCTGCCAGCTGGCCCAGAAATACAACCGTGACAAGATGATGCGCTGCAAGTGTTCTACTCGCCTGCACCCCCGCGGTCACCTGCCGCAGGAAGTGCGCCACACCAACAACCTGTGCCCCAAGAAGATCAAATAAGGCCCCTCCACCGGCTCTTCTTTTGTCTGCAGGGCCACCTCCTGCCAGAGCCCCGAGGCCCTGGGGCCTCGATACAAGTTTTCCTTTCACTGACAGCAGTAAAACAGAAACAAAAACACAACAAAAAACTTCTTATAAAGAAAAGCCCTAGACCAGATGGCTTCCCTAATAAATTCTACCAAACATTTAGCAAACTAACACCAACCCTCTGCAAACTCTTCCATGAAATCGAAGATTAAGGAGCACTTCCAAACTCACGCTGTAAGGTCAGCATTGTCCTGATACCAAAGCCAGATGCTACGAGTCAATATCTTTTATGAACACTGATATAAAAACCGTCAAGACGACTAGCAAACTGAATTCAATAGCATATTAAAAAGAGTATACACCATGGCCAAGTGGGATTTGTTCCTGAAATTCCCTGATAGCTCAACATATGAAAATCTAATCAATATAATATATCACATTAACAGAATGAAGGGGAAAAAAACCACATGATCATTTCAATTGATGATGACAAAATTCAACACCCTTTGATAATAAAATTACTCAACAAACTAGGAATAGAAGGAAACTGCCTCAACATACCAAAATCTACATATGGGGAGCCTATGATGAACATTATGCTCAATGGTAAAAGACTGAAAGTGTTCTTGGAAGATCAAGAACAAGGCAAGGATGCTGACATTCCCCACTTCTATTCAATTTGGTACTAGAAGTTCCAGCCAGAGCAATGAGACAAGAAAATAAAAGGCCTCCACACTGGAAAGAAGTAAAATAGTCTCTATTCATAGATGATGAAAGATCTGATATGTGGAAAATCCTAATGATTCCCCCCAAAACATCCTGCTAAGACTAATACATTTAGCAAAGTAGTAGGATATAAAATCGTCAGTTAATGGAGAGAGGGCAGTCTTTTCAACAAATGGTGCCGTGGAAACTGGATATCCACATGCAAAGGAATGAGATTGGAGCATCACCTAATGCCATACAAAAATTAACTCAAAATGGACCAGAGACCTGCATGTGTGAGTTAAATTATAAAACTCTTAGAAGAAAACATAGGGCAGAAGCTTCACAACACTGGATTTGTCACTGATTTCTTGGATATGACACCAAGATCACTGGCAACAAAACAACAGATAAACTGGACTTCATGAAAATTAAAAAATTTTATGCATCAAAAGACAGGGATTAATATTCAAAATATACAGAGAACTTCTAACTAAAACTCAACAATTAAAAAACAACAAACCCCAATTCAAAATGGACAAAGGACTTGAGTAGATATTTCTCCAAAGATACACCAAGCAGCCAACAGAACATGGCCACCAGCCAGTGGGATGGCTACCATCAAAAAAAGAGAAAACAAATGCTGGTGAGTATGTGGAGAAACTGGAGCCCTTGGGTGCTGTTCTCGGGACTGTAAAAGGGCACAGCCACCGTGGAGAAGTTATTATAGCATTCAGCAATTCCAGTCCTGCATAGATAACCCAAAAGAACTGAAAGTCAGGTCTCAAAGACGTATCTGTACACACATATTCATAGCAGCACTACTCCCAACAGACACAAGGTGGAAAGAACAAGTGTCCGTTACCAAAAAATGGATCAGCAAGCTGCTGTATGTACATATAATGGAATATTATTTAGCCTCAAAAGGGAAAGACATTCTGGCACATGCTACCACAAGGATGAACCTCAAGGACCATTATTCTAAGTGAAATATGCCAGTTGTAAAAAGACAAATGATTCCACTTTTATGAGGCACCTCAGTAGTCAAATTCATAGAGACGAAAGTAGAACAGTGGTGGCCAGGGGCCGGGAAGAGGGATAATAAGGAATTACTACTTAATGGGTACAGAGTATTGGTTTTACAAGATGAAAAAAGTTCTGGAGGTGATGGTCACACAGCAATGGGAATGTACTTACTACTGGTAAACTGTACACTCAAAAATGGTAAAGACAGCAAATTGTACGTTATGTGTATTCTGCCATAATTTAAAAAAAAATCAGAAAAAGAGGGGCGCCTGGGTGGCTCAGTTGGTTAAGCGACTGCCTTCGGCTCAGGTCATGATCCTGGAGTCCCGGGATTGAGTCCCGCATCAGGCTTCCTGCTCTGCGGGGAGCCTGCTTCTCCCTCTGCCTCTGTCTCTCTCTCTCTCTCTGTCTCTCATGAATAAATAAATAAAATCTTT